CATCGTATCTAGTGTTTTGTTATCAATGGTTACAGTTCATTATCTTCACAAGAAGGGAAATTGATGTGCTTTAAGTGACAGCAAGCATAATAGAGTGAAATACTGAGATTCTCAAGAATGCCCTATACTATCGTCTTCTTGCAGTATCCACTAATGTAACCTAATACGGGGGGCGAAAAGTGTCATCAGCAACTTTATGTTCATTCTTAGGAGTCAGATTCAGAACTCTTTTTGCCCCTGACACACATTCCACTTGATGACTATATTTATATCAGTAGGGGGGACATGGTCAAAGAGAACACTTTCTCTCCACGATTCCCCGGCAACTCTTCCTTTTTTCTTAACCGCTCAAAATGTCTCTTTCAACCATTATCTGTATTCTTATCAGCGATAATATAAAAATATTTAATTTTTGTGCTGGTAAAAGAACATTTTATAACCTATGATCCCTTGAAATAGTGTATTATATAGCACGGAAGGTGTGTTTATTTCTTTTATTACTCGGCTTTTGGAGGATTAGAGTAATTCATCAAAATCCGTTACTTTCCATATGTACGAAACAATATGAAGTAGATTTTGCATTACTTTATGGATCCATACAGTATGTAACATAGTGCAGCCTAGCGGATACTTCATTTTACTTTTGCTTAAATTTCAAGTGCACATATTCCTTTTTTATTTCAGTATTTTTCCCCATAATTTAAAGCATAAGGTTTGGAATAATTATACATGGTCATTACTAAAAATTAAACTATTCAGATAAAATTCAATGTTCAAAATATAGTTGGTGTGAAGGTAAATGAAATTAAAAATTTTGTTCAAAAATTTAACTACAGTCAAACGTCGTTAATTCGGACCTCAAAGCTACAAACTTTCTGCGCATGCGTCGCGTTCACGCATGAGCACAGGCGTTTACGAGAGCGCGTAAGACCCTTACGGCTGCGAATATGTTCGAATATGCGCGTTTAATGTGTAACGGAGTTATACGCTAAGCTAAAGTTATCTAATTCAGTTAATGTTGCAGATTGCGTTGTTCCTTAATCTTCGAATTGGATCCGGCTTATTATTTTTTGCAGACTGTTAGAGCAATTTTATAAAAGTAAGCTTGAACTTTCGATTATGTCAAATAGAATTTCTGATATATATTTACTACAAAGCGAAAGTATGTTTTGAAATCCGAAATCTGTTTATCAATTTCACGCTGCTCTGCGGCAGAGGGGGAGGCAGAAACGTCATTATTAGATGATAGATTAGAAAGATTATGTCACATAGAATTTCCGATATATATTTACTAATATGTAATTTGTATCTACAAAGCGAAACGGCGGATTGGAAGTTAATCTGTCAGCACTATCCTTATCTTCAGGGCAGATGTTTTTATTTTATTTGGTTTATAATTCCATACTAAGTGTAGTATTTCATCTCGAGGTACTCCATCTTTGATATGATTTAAATCAAGTTCCTCGTCATTATAATTCGCTTCCAATAGTGAAGAAAGTGGACCCGAGGTTATTGAAAACGAAAATATTTCCATTGACAAATTAGTCGGTATCTCAACACCAGCAATTATAGGACTTGAACAGCGGAACTTTGTAATTAAACAAAAATTATCTGTTTAATAGAATTAAAGAGAAAGTATTATCACATGAAACGAAGCAACTACTTGAAGGAAATGTTTATAAAGTAAATAAATAAATATTAAGCTTTTTCTTTTTGTAAATTTTGATACCCTTTAGATCATAATTGTTCTTTATTTCATAAATTACATTTCATATTTTTAATTTTGTAATTTCTGCATGCCATCTTACCAGATTTAAACTGATGATCTATAATCCGGAATCGCCGAAGTCCCGAGGAGTCCGGATTAACGACTTTTGACTGTATTAGCTTTTGCATTTCTGTAGAAAAATTATTTAGGATAAATGTTTTTATTCAAATATGAAGATCAGCATTAATTGAATTAAAAGCATGTATTGCAATAACGAAAACTGCAAAATTTATTATTTATAGTATTTACTCATCTTTTATCCTTCATAACCTGTCGTATTTATTTTCTCATATCACATTTGTTACTTGATTATTTATCTACTTGTAATTTATTTAATACCAATTAACAATGTACTTTGTATTTTAATTTTAATTTCTTGTAATTTAGTATTTTATTTATTATTATTTTGATGATACAGTTTTTATATATCATTCCTAATGAGTTAACGCAGCGCTCCGGCACTTCTCATTTTAGAAATTAAGCCCTGTCTAATGGCAACATATGTTTACATTCCTTTCAATTCCTATTCAGTAGAGAGTTGTTCAACACGTAGCATGTTTCACTACCGGTTTTGTAGGAAGTTTTTTGAGAAACATGTTGTTGGAAATCTTAAAGCCTATTTTTCTTTACAAGTACAAATAAGGAAACAAAGCTACAGAAGTCACTAGAAGAATATGCTCAGCACTGAGAGACATCAGTGAGTGAACGGACTGCTCAAAAGTGGTTGAGCCAATATTCCAGAAATGAAAGCCTTAAACACAACCTCATGTTGGTCATCCAACCATCCTCAAGAAGTCTAGCTGGAGGAGGAAATCCAGCAGAAGCAGAATCCTCAACAAACCTGCCAGGAGCTTGCACACTGATTTGGAGTATCTGATGAAACCATTTGATCACATCTTAATAACTTTGGGATGACATGGAGACTAAGCGAGTGGGTTTCTCGCATCTTGTCTACGGAAAACAAGCTTCAATAGTTGAACATCTGTTTGTCACTACTGTTAAGCCTTAATATAGCTCCATTTCTAGATTAAATATTGACGTGTGACAAAAAATGGATCATGTACGATAACCGCAAGAGGAAACATCTGGAATTAGTTAACTTTTGGTTCAGTCTCATTGGTGCTAAACCAGACATTCATCAAAAGAAGGTAATGCTGTGTGTTTGGTAAATTAGTGCAAATACAGTCCACTACAAATATCCAGAAAGCGGAAAAACCATAACAGCAAACTAGCACTGGTCCAAAAGAAGAGGAGTATCCTCCTTGACGATAATGCCAAACTTCACATGACAAAAGTGACCAAAAGAGTTGATCAAAACACTTTGCTGGGATGTTCTGCCTCCCTATTCCTCAGACTATCACCTGTTTTTGGCAATGGATAACCACCTGCAGGAACAACAGTTCTGAAAATGTGACGATGTCTTAAAGGCTATATCACAATTTTTGGATTAAAGAAAAAAGGATATTTCAGTAAGAGCATTTACAAGCATGTATCTCATTGGGAACATGTAACTGAAGCCAATGATGATTACTTCAAAGAATAAAAAAGCTATTTTAAGATTTTTCTGGGAATTTTTTGATGAATGATGAAAATTGAACAAACTTTCTTGGTTACCTAGTAGAGACCTTCTCTATAGCATAGGTCATTAGTATTAGGTTCTCTACAATACTGCATGTATTATGAAAATGTTCTGAGATAAATAAAAAAACTTTTTTATAGCTGAATATAAGCAACATTTTTTCACAATTTTAATATTTGGTGCTTCCACTTTTAGCTTTAATTACAGCAATAACACAGCTCAGCAACTATCCAATCTTTTTCGACACTCTTCAATAGTTATGCCATTCCAAACTTGTTCAAGAGCATTTTTAACGGAAACTTACAATGTTAACGAGTACTGGCATAGCTTTTGTTTTAAATAACCCCATAGCTGCTCTGTTCAATTAAAATCTGAGGATTGCAGTGGCCAGTCTATAACATAATATTTTTATGAAAAATCCACTATGCCGAAGCTCTGACTTGTGACATGGTGCTTTATTTTGCCAAAATTTGATGCAATACAGGTGTGTATCACAAAATACTATATAAAAAGATCAAAAGCGAGCTTACTGTTGGTTTGGTGTGGTGTATTTAATTATGGCAAAGCACATTAGGGCTATCTACCTAAGGGGGAGGGATGCCTTCGTGGAGGACATTGTAAGGGAAACTGACTCGTATACATATTACACATGGTGACAACCATGAAAAACACCCATGCAGCCAGCCCGTTCGCGGGATTCAAACGTCGGACCAAACTACCAGTGTTTAGCGACTTTACCGCTCGGCTGCTGGTGGGCTACTGTAGGTTTGATTCATCAGAAAAGATAATATCTGACCATTCTTCCTCAGTTAACTGCTTGTGTGATAAAGCCCATTTTATATCAATATTCTACACTGCCCCCCAAAGAGTTACAACTTCAGTTTGCAACCTTTCAAATCAACTAAAGCAAGCTTCCTTCTCTCACTTTTAGCAATCACTGTGCAACCAATTTCTTGTGTTAACTGTACAGCAGGCCCAGGAGAATGTTTTTGGTTTCTTATTGATTTTTGGAAAACAATTAGTTCACCACATTTTGATGTTACTTTTCCCCCAATCTCACTCAAGCATGAAGCTGTTTTCTTATGTTTCAAAGTATACTGTACAACACCTTGAGAGCATTTAAGATTTTTAGCAATCTCAATTTCAGATTTTCCTTTCTTATTTAAAAACAAGATTTGATACTGTTGTGGAACATTAAGTTCTAGCAGTCTTGTACAAACTATTTTTTTTTTAGCATTTTAGATACAACTGTTTTGTCATTTTCTTGTACAAACTATATTAAGTTTCAAAGTTACTAAGTAACAAGTGCAACACAATAATCAACCTTTCACTAAAACAAAGTGTCTCGATAATAAATATTTTTTTAAAGAAAAGTATAATAATGAATTAAACGTTGTTTATTTGCTTTTAATTCTTACTAATTTAAAAACAAATTCACAATTGTTAGACAATAAACACTCTTGTATCTGATTATTACGTTTAAAGTTATCTTAAAAATATGGAAATGCCTAATACTTTGGACCAAAGCTGTACACAGATTCTGCTTTACATAACTATAATAATAAAATATACTAAAAACATTTGTATCTCTTTGGAAATTTGAACCGAGATATATGGCATTCATATACTTAACATATATTATAGAGGCACAGCTGCATGAGAATATTAAAGATTTTATTTCAAGTAATTCTTATTTCATAAGTTCAAAACAGAAACACACTAAAACTTTATAATTTTTGCCAATACGGTACATGTTATATCTGAGCAACAACATGACGTTAAACATACTTCAAATGTACAGCAATCAACATAAATAAAGAAAAATACAACCTCTTTTTTTTTTTTTTTCTTTAAAATGAATTTATTGCAACAAACAAGCCTGGAAGTATATGAACTCAATAAAGAAAATCTCAGCTTGCAAAACACAAAAATCTCAAGAGGAAAAATTTTATGAAAAGGAATTTTTTTAAAGTATTTTCAAAATATTGTAACATGCACAACAGAAAAAAAAAAAAAAAAAAAAAAAATGTATGTACATATGCATTTAATCAAATGGACAATGGCTGGTTAATGGCATTATTTAATTCAATGTTCATTTTAGAGAAGTACATCTGCTTTATATTTGAGTTATCAGTTCTGATAGTGCCTACTATGTAGATCATCTTGGAAATGAGCAAAGGTAAAAAACAAGTTCTCTTTGCATCTGCATTCTGATATACATTAAGTATGACTTAATCAATCATCAAGATTTTGAGATAAAAGAAAATTAGCAGCAAGGTTTTCATTTTTGTCACAGGCAAAATACGCTTGAATGACCAAATACTCAGGGAATCCCAATGCTTTTAACTGGAAAAGAAAAGAAAAGAAGAAAAAAAAATTAGCAATTTAAAAACTAAAAAATAAACTTTTTTTATATGAAGCTAAAAACAAGGTTTAATGCTTTCAGTGCCATTCCTGGATATAGAAATTATTACAACAATTTCCCTGCAAAATTTCTAATAGATATTTTAATATTGGGTTGTCATGATGCTTTTCTTCTATGTTCTTCAAAGGTCTTTTATTTATATAAAGAACACTCTTTTATTATTATAAAAGTCTTTTATTTATATAAAGAACATTGTGTTTTGCAAGCTGAGATCAAAGAATAGTATATTGCCTGTTTTGTTCAATAACTTTTTGCTTTCTTTAATGATGTTTGTAATTCCTCGTTTACAAAAGAACCTAGCTTTATCAGTGAAAAGCTCAATAAGGTGCTGATTTACAGCCTCATCTAAATTGATTGCTATACCACTAAAGAAATTTTGAAGAGACCAAAACAAGTAAATGCCTGAGGGCACAACATCAGGTTAAGTACGATATGCATGTTGACACTCTTCATTCAAACTCCAAAAATTTTTGCTAGGATCAAATTTGTGTGTAGTCTTGTTTCAGAGCTCCTACCAAAGATGCAACAAATCAGGTCGAATGTACAGCTGTTGCCAACTGCTGGACAACTTCAACAAATCTATCTTCCAGAAACTTCCAGAGCTCAATTATTTAACAGGAACTACATTCCATCCCCATAACAAGAGACCACACACAAGTTTGACAACCTTAAAAAAAATCATTGGAGTTTGAATCGTTTCTTCAAAATTTCTTTTATGGTATAGCAGGGTTCGTACACATTTCCTTACATGAAAATTAAGGACTTTTAAGGACCATCAAAGAAAAAATTAAGGACCTATCAGCAAACAAAAAAAAAAAAAAAAAAAATACAATAAAGCAATTATCCACACAACCGACTTCATGCTTGTAATTTCACTTTAAAAAACTAACAGAAGTGTGTATTATGCACTATTATTAAATTCAACTTAATACTTACCATAAAACAATTTTGAAAATTAAACTAACTCCCTACAAGTTATGAAGTAGATAACATTAAATGAGGAACATAATTTCTTGAAAAACATGTATAAGTGTATTTTACACTAATAACAGTCACTATTTTAGAGATTTACATGATTATTATTTAACTTATTTGATATTTATTTAAAACATAGTCAACTACTATTATAATCACAATGTAAGAATATTTTGCAGATTAAAATAACTGATTTGTAAACATACAATTTATTTCCTTGGTTTTTTGAAAGATACTAGAATAATAAACTGTACAATAAAAGATACAAAACATTTGTGCTTTTTTTAAATCTGAAATCTTTTCCTTTTCTAAAATCTTCCTTTTCTTTAACTATTCTTCTAAGTTCATTTGCTTTGATAAACAAATCAATGTTCCTGATGGTCTCAGCTTTATCTGCTAAAGCATCTACTTCTTCATTAATGTCTTTAATGTCCCTTTGAGGAAAGTTTTTCTTCTGCTTCATATAATCAATTTCTTCTTCAATAATATTTCTTTTCCTCTTTGAATTTTCAGATTTAGTTAAAGATTTTTGTTCTTCTAAATACTGAACTTCTAAATAACGAACTCCACTTCTTGCAGAAGCTGCTGCTGATCTCATTTCTTTATTAATTTCGATATTAAGAACACCTCCAGAAAATTTTATGTAATCAAATACTGTGCGTTGAAAAATGTATGATGAGTCACTTAAATTTTCAAATTTCAATTGCTTTATTTACAGAGAAGCCCCTTTCCACAGAGGCCTGTTCATGTGACAAGATAAGAATACTTGTCACAGTGAATACTTGAATAGTGAAAATATACATTTTTTACTATATATATATAATTTATTTCCTAAACAATATAGATTAATTGATTATATTATCTCCTAAGTTTAATTAAAGTAGAATTATTTTAAAAGAGTGAATCCATACTGGTAAGTTATATTTTGAAAGATGTATATATATATATATATATATAAAGTCCGAGATCCGGACATCTAATATCTGGAATGATCTAAAATCTGGACCTCAAAGCCACCACCAACCAATTGCGCATTAGATTTTTTCCCTCATCATAAAAAAAATGCCAGAAATCCGATTCTTAATCTTAGTTTGGTGCTAAATAAAATATCTCATTATTGAAGAAATAATTATTTTAGCATAAATTTGTGTGATTAGTAACTTGACTCCATAGCTGCGTATCTGCTTGGCATAATCTCAAACCGAAACATTTGTTAATTTTACACCAACTAATATTTTATATCCTTGATGCCGAAATCGCGAATCATTATTTATTGTATTTTGCTTTCATCACCGCATGTTTATCAACGAATGACAACTTGAGTGATGAATCATGCAGCGATGCCAAATAACAGAGTATTATACGATTACAGATTTAAATTTAATGCGCTAAAATGTTGACAAGGGGAGATTTAGCAGAAATTTCTTTCCTTATGCTAAAAATAGATTTTGTTAATGATACTCATAGGACAAACGATTATATTTAGTGCTATTTGAATTAAGAATAACTGATTTGTTATTCACATAAAGCCAGAACCAGCTCCAGAGCTCGCATGGCCGCACCAGGCGGCAGAATTTAGCGAAGTTAAACAGAAGTTTTTCATTGCAATGACAATGCCCAATCATCAATCAATTAACGGAGGGCGGAATCTGTAGTATGGTTCTAAATCCAGAAAATACAGCTACCGATAGTGAAGAAAGTAACAGAGAGGTTACTGAACGAGAAAAAATTTTGATTGACAAGTTATTCGGAATTCTCGACACAGCAATTACAGGACTTGAACAATGGAACTTAATAACTGAACAAGAAATTATATGTCTATAGTATTAGTCTAAAGTATTAGCAGAGAAAACAAATCAAACAACTCACATTGAAAGAAATGTTTATTAAAGTAAACATATAAATATTAAGCTCTTTTCTTTGGTAAATTTTGATACCCTTTAAATCATAAATGCTTCATTATTTCATAAATCACGATTTCATATTTTCAATTTTATAATTTCTACGTGCCATCTTAGTAGATTTAAAATGATCTAATATCCGGAAAAATCTCAAATCTGATCTAATATCCGGAAAAATCAAATAGGAATCGCGACGAAGTCCCGACGAGTCCAGACCTCGGACTATTGTATATATATATATATATATATATATATATATATATATATATATATATATATATAATACGGAATGTATATTTTCAGTTAAACTTCTACCCAATAACTTTAGTAATTCATGAAAGTTAATTTTGCGTCTAGTTAATTCAGGAAAATTAGTTTCAATTAGTTGTTTTCAGCTTTAAAAATATTTAAAAAATTTTAATTATTAGTTATTTTCAACTAATAATTGTATCGCCATTAGCAAAAATTATGCATTACTATCAAAAACATAGGTTTAAACCAAATACTTAATTGTCTATTGAAGCTTCAAAACGTATTTCCGAACTTCACTTTTTCTCAGCTAGCGTTACCGATTTTGCCCTTGGCGACCTAAAATCGAAATGGAGCCAACAGATTTCCCGCGAAATCGATAACAGACCCTCTGCAGAAATAAACTCATAATCCCGATATCCCATACATATAGTATGTGCAAAAGAGAATAAACTCCGTAGAAGGTGATAAAAAATTAATTTATGGCTTAATTGAAACAAACACAGAAATTAAGCTAAGCAAAACCGTGTAAAAACAAATTGAAATGATAAAACGAAACTTAATTTTAATGTGAATTTTCAGTGCTGACTCTCCCATTCTAGAAATTTCAATTTGTTTCAGACAAAGACCACATTTAAGGATTGCCATCCATCAATATCCAGTCTTTGTAGTCAGCTTGATGAAGCCACAGTTTATTGAAAATGCACTTTCCAGGCATCTCGTTCCTATTGGCGTCGGAAGGGTTGTGGCCTTCCAGGTTGGAATTGCTCTAGTTTTGGCAAATATTTTCAGAATCTCCCCCCTCCCTTTTTTTTTCTCGAGCACCTTCATCATCACTTTCGCCTCTTAAAGAACTTCCAGCTTCACGCTTTCGTCACAGTCTGCCTAAATTTATGGATAACACCTGTTTCGAAAGATTGCGTGAATAGCCAATCAGACACCGATACTTTCGTTCGGGTAGCTAATGTTTTTTTTTTTTTTTTTTTAATCGTTTGCAATGCAAATCCGCCAACAGATTAGTTAAGAGCTGTGTAATTTTAATTCCATATTCATGAGAAATCGTAATTCACACTTAGAATGGCAATCATTAGAAAATAAGAAATGTCAAATGAGCAAAATTAAGGACCGTTTATTCCTTTTGGCCAAAATTAAGGACTTTTAAGGACCAAAAATATTAAGATTTAAGACGTACAACCCTGTATAGCATTAATTCAGATGGTCTAACGCATCTGTTCACTTCACTCAAGGCAGGTTCTTTGAATAAGAATCTGAGCCATCAAAGAAGCGAAATTATGAAAAAGGGGCAAACCGACATATCTTGCTTTTTGTTTTTTTTTTATAAAATAAAGGACTTTGAAGAACATAGAAAAACGCTCCAGGACTTTTCAGACAACCTAATACAGTACCAGTTATGGACTAAACATCACATTATTAAAGAAAATTAACTTGAAAACACCAGAACTTTCATAAACAGAACTGAAAAAAAATTTGTATTATAAGTTAGATTTAATATTATACCTCGCAAGCTTATTTAAAAGCACAGCAAATGGAGCATTAAGAAAATGAAGCTTTATTACAAAGGTAAAATACTGGTTCACAATCAGCATTATTGGTGAAAATTTTATTTAGTAGCACAGCTTTTTGGCTCTTCTTATGACAGACTGCATTTTAACAGCATTTATTACCTAAATTGTTTGTCTGTATTACTTTTAATTTTTATCTTTGAAATATTACGTATAGTGAAGCCTTCAGTGTATGGTGTGTTCGGACTGAACACACTGTACTGGTAGCGCCTGTCACGTGAGAGTGAGTCACAGAATCTGGTCTTGTGCTTCAAATACGGTGAAGGCTGAGAGCACAGATTTATTTATATTTGTTTTTATTCTTTTCTGTTTTGGTTTTTAAAGACCCCGGTGCTTTGTTTTCACTTAGCTATTTGATTTTCAGCAAGAGCAGACCCTTTTTTTTCTTTTGCTTTCATCATGCGTAGTTTGCTTAGTTTTGATTTATGTAGATTTTTATTTGTATATATATATATATATATATTTGATAATAATTTTTTTCTAGTCAATAATTGTAAGTATTATAGTATTTTAATTATTTTTCTTATAAATTTTAAAATTGTGTAAATAGCTCAGAGAGGTCTCAGCACTGCCGAAGCAACGAGTTCCCTCCCCCCATTCTTTTTGGTGTGTGCGTGTGTGTGTACAGTATCAGGCTTCCCCGTGGTGCACCCTGGGTTATGCTAAATCTGCTATGGAGATCAGATTTTACTGTTTTTAAATTATTAATAACCAATCTCACAATGGGTTCTAGGACTTCATGTCGATACCAGACAGCCATCAAAGAACCCTGTTTAAAGAAGTGCAGGTCGGTGCGGTATCCTAATGAAATCCTTGCCCACACCATAATGCCTCCGCCTCGGAATGAGTGATGTTCGTTGATGTTTTGGGACTGATTGCGTGTTGTTCACGCCATATTCTTACACGCTTGCATCTGGTTCCAGAGCAAATCTTGACTCAATAACCATGACATTGCCCCAGGCAGACACTTTCCAATTACATGTTCCTGGCACCACTATAATCATGCCCTTCTTTATTGGAGGAATAGAGGAACACAAACTTTAGGTACCTGGGCGTACAGTCTACTCATATGTAATCTTCGATGTACAGTAGCTGCAGATATCATCTTACCAATGGACGCTGTAACTATAGATGTCACACGTGTGGAGGTCGCTCTGCGATTCCGCTTGGCCATAATAGCAATATACTGATCTTCCGCGGGGGTTGTAACCCTTGGGCGAGTGGCTACGGGCTTTCGGACAACTGTCTGTGTGGTTTGGAATTGTTTCCATAAATGTGAAATTACAGAATGATGAACGCCGAAGAAAAGAGCAACATCTGTGATCGACTGTCCTGCTTCAATGCACCCTACAGCACGCCAGCGCTCGGAATCTTCCATTCGTCTTCTGGAAGTCATAGAAACACGTATGTCTTGAAAACAAATTGTACGAAAATTTTAAACACCTTCTATCAGCACTTACAATCAACTTCTGTAACCCTTCATAAAGCTGGCTTCTTATAAAACTGCCTTTCTTTGCATATTTCGTGACATGAAAGCACTATTGGCTGTTACCTAACATATTTGCATACTTCCATCTACCTCTGCAGTGAATTGCATCCTCTTCAATTCTGATTAGCTTCCAAAAATTAGCATTTTCCTCTCCGTACTTAACTTTTGGAAGTGAGTGTATTTTACTGTAATATGTGCTTCACAGCAATGCTCACCTATCGCAGCTCGTGCGGCTCAGTGTGTTTGCTTTGGACACACCCACAAAATATAGACGGTTTGTGGAATCTGTAAAATTACACCTGCATATTCTCCTAGGCCTAAATAGACTGTCTACAAATTTTTTGGGTACAATTCCAACTTTAAAGAGTAGCATGCCGGAAAGGGTTAAGCGGTGTTGCCACTGGCCAGATGAGTAAAAAATTTAAGCGCCAGTAGTTCGCCCTGCTGTTTTAACCTTCTCCTGGTTTTCTTGTGTGTAACGCGACCAGATGATGGTTTCTTCAAGTCCTCCTCAAAGGCATCCCTCCTCTTATGCAGATAGCCCTCGTATGCTTTGCAATAATGAATTAAACAATGCTTGCCCGACATCGTTGGTTAATCTGCGTGTCATATATTGTAATCTAAATTCATCTAATAGCTTCTTAAAAATATGCATTATTTTGTATTACTTTATATACTCCTTAAACCAATAAAAAAGAATACAAAGTTGACAGTAAGCTTTTTTATATCTGGCTTGGAATAAAGAAAATCATTCGAATAACTGGAGTCCTACTAATACTGATGTACTGATAGCTCTGTTAAGAATGCAATCAGTACAAACTTCCCATATGTAATTCTTCCAATCTATTAGTGTTTTGTCAACCATATTTCAGCTACTGAGCATATTGCGTTCAATAATACATACTTTTTGATGGTAGGATCCCATAACTTTGAAAAAAAATCCACTACTGTTCTACAGAAGGAAGGTCCCAAGTTTTTTCAAAATGCAAGGAAAAAATAGAGCAATAACAATTTATATCTTTTTCATAAAAACAAAATAAGGCATATAAAGAATCAATCAGAGTCCAGCAAACAAAAGTGCAGGTGTTATGAGTGTGTTGCTACATCGTGCTTATCAAACTGAAGCTAAATTGCATATCTTGGTGAAATTAAGGACCTATGAACAAACGGGAACTGAATAGGATTAGGATTACTCAGTTATGGCAAAACACACGAGGGCTATCTGCCTAAAGGGAGGGATGCCTTCGTGCAGGACTTTCTAAGGGAAACTGGCTCGTATACACGTCACGAATGGGGAAAACCACGAAAGTGCCCATGCAGCCAGGCCGTTTGCCGGGAACTGAATAAATTCAATTAAAAATATTATCTATGCCTGAACTTCACTTTTGTAATACCGTACAAAAAAATACAGATCTGTAAGTACGATGCATTATTATTAAACATAATTATTAATAAGTTTGAGAATAAAATATACTTTGAAATTTATCAAATAGCATTAAATATTTTACACTTATAATAGTCGGGCATATTTGAAAGATGATAAGCGACTTTTTTTTTTTACGTTTTACTCACAGTTAGTTTTCTGTTGATATTTTTGTTTCATTTTGTCTCATACTTGTTCAATCTAAAGGTTTAGTAATTATGCTTTTAGAGGTAATAATAATAATCTCTCATAATATAGATTTGTTCTTAATTAACACATTAAATATAGTTGTGTTTATAAATAGTCCTACCATACAGACTACACTGAATAAATAAACTAACTGGGTAGAAGACAATATTTGCAAGTCACTTGCATTCAAGAAAATGGAGAACAAAGCAAAATTAAATGTAGGCAATTTAATGATTTAAAAATTATGATTGTGAAATTTAAAATTCTGCTAAAATGAAAGAAAATACATACTCGTTCAATGGCTTCTCTGTCTTGAGGTGAAACCTGAGATGTTGCTTGACTTAAGGAAGATTCCAAAGGAAAACTACCAGCACCTCCTGTAGCAGCAACACCACCAGTTGCAGGTGAGGCATTACTTCCCTGACTGGATATTGCAGGTTCATTCAACATCCTAACAAATGCCTCTTGATTCTGAGATATAAGCTGAAGTAATTGAGGGTTATTTTGTCCTATCTGCTGCAAAACTGCATTTAATAACTGAGGATTCTGCTGTATCACTTGCCTCATTTGTTGAAACTGAGGCTGATTCCTCAAGAATGATAGAGGTTCACCTGAAAATGTTACAGAAAATAAATGAATATTTCAAACAATTTTCATCTTTTAGAAGGGCATCCTTCAATCACCAATATACATTGCCAAACATAAATGAAGATTATGACAAATTACATAATTATTAAATAAAAATAAATATCAACTAATGCTAATTGATGCACATAAACCCTTGATGAAAACGGATTGGGGGAATGCAATTTCACATATATGTGCTATCTTAATTGTTTCCATTTAATTAGCTCAATGCTAGAATTTCATTTATATGCAGTTCAACAACATACATTCATCAATACTAAATGCTTGCTGGCATCAGTTCTGACCAGATGATATCAAAAATTTTAAAAGGTTTCCTTTGACTGAAATGAAACTAAAATGGTAAAGATTGTAAAAGAAATTGAAAGATTTTCAGATTTGGAAGGAGAAGTCAAAGAATTAATCGAGAATGAAGAGCTGGATGATTTTACGACATTAGAGGATAAAGAAAACTGCAATAATGAAGAAGAAAGAGCACCTATAATGTACAAGAAGTTAAATAAATTGTTAGAAAAGGAATTGAATTTGCATCGAAGACTGACCCAAACAAAGTAAAGGAGAAACACTGAAAAACTTTGCACTTATTACTCTCAAGATATTAAAGAGTTGCATTTATCATTGGCCCAAACAAAAAATCCCCCCTCCAAAATTAGTTAAGTTTTTTTCTTTTAGTTGTAAAGCTATTTAAGTTTGTTTAAATTACAAATACTTTCATAATCTTAACTATGCTTCATACATTTTTCTAACACATAGAAATAACTTTGCAGAGCACTATGTCCATCCCACATCCATAGAGAGTTTACTGTATTTATATCTATTACATCCCAATTAACAAAAAACACTACAGCAAATCTACAATTTGTATTATTGGATGGGCATTACCGATTAATTTGGATTTTAAAAAGTTAGAAAAGGTTAGTAACCATTGCATCCAGTTTTTAAAATTTAATCTCATGCAATAGGATTAACAGAAAACTGTAATTAGAAGAAAATCAATTACATATTAAATTTACATTCTCATTACCATATATTATTTATCACTTTGAAGATGTGAGATTCACAAAATATGAATAAACACCAATATATAGTTATATATGTGATATAATGAAAAACTCAAGACTGTCAATTTGAAATAAAAAAAAAAAAAACTAGGAGTTTCTAGGAGGTTTTTGCACTGTGAGATGATGCGACTCTTATAGCTCTTGTAGAGCTATAAATTGACTCAAGTTTGCTTTATAATGCATGGTTTAAGTATGATCCTGATGTAAAACATACTAATATTGCCTTAGGTATTGTATATTGCTCTTTAGTTAATTTCATTCAGTAATTTCCTTACACTTTTACATCAAGAAGGTTCCGAGTAAGGAAATGAAATTATCCTTACTAATTATTTATTTATCAAAGTTCTTTTAAATATGATAAATATAAAATTAATGATTAATGTTATTAATTAAATTAATCATATTGTGTGGATAAACTTAACAATGGACTTAACAATTAACAATTGTGCAGAATAAAAAAATTACATACAAATATAATATTAATGGATATCATGCTTAAATCTTCACGAAAAGTTTTACGAATGTCTGTAGCAGATAAAGACAATTTTGATGAAATAACAGGTAGTAAGAAAAATGATGTTGAAAACCATTAGATGGGGAAACTAAATTTGACCAATTAAAAATTCCTTAATTCAATAAACTTTAAATTATGGCTGGGAAATTTTTTCCTTAATAAAGGCTCTCAATTAAAAATCTGGAAATTCAGTGATTTATTGGAAGATGTGATGAAAAACTGGAAAACACTTCAGATGTAAAAATTCAAGCAAAAACCTAATCTGTGCTCAATAAAAAGCGATTTCAAATTACTGCCAAGTGTGTGCAAGGGGAGAAAAGGCGAGATTGAGAATACAAGAAATACACTATTTACTGAATTTATAAACTAATTATCTTCATTCATACTAATCATCGTTAAGTACGAATTCTTATCATCTGCATAGCACAGTACAAAGTCCAAGATCCGGACTTTTCAGGACTTCACCAATTCCGGATATTAGATCATTAGCTTAAATCTAGTAAAATGACATGTAGAAATTATGAAATTAAAAAATGTGAAACTTTGATTTATAAACTAAAGGGTATCAAACTCTCTACATGTTTTATTATTGGAGGAAATAAAATGTGCATGCATAGTGCATAAAAAAAGGTTGATGAAGTCCGGATTTTAGATCATTCTGGATATTGGATGTCTGGATCTCAGACTCCACACTGATAAAATTCATGTTTTACAGTCAAAATTGTTGGAATACCGCTTTCCTATCACTAAAGATATAGATAGTGAGCAGTTTCCTAGAAGGACAGAAAAAAGATGATACTCTGTGGGTTCAGAAGCAAGGTAACATTTTACAACCAAACAAAATCAACAGCAAAAGCAAAGCAAAATCAGGCCTAGCATTACCATGATGAAAGTTAATGCCTTTGCAATTCACAAGTGTTCAAGTATCAGTTCTCCCCTTTTTCTGTCTACCTGTTTGCAATAGAGATCAACATTTATTATTTGGTAAATATCAGCACATCCCCACTAGAATACTCATCACTACAGACATCACTAAACAAAATCTTTCTGAAATACAGTCTCCTTTCAAGGTTTATGTAAAAGCACAGTTTTACACTGCAACTTCGGTGAAATAATCTTCGTCGCTCGGCGCACATGCATAAAGTCTAATTGAACCAGTTTCTTGTTGCTATTTCACAGTGTGCTGCAAGAAACGAGGCTTAACACTTTTTCTTCACACGTTGTGAGCTGCGAGGATGTCGTTGACAGTTTTCAAATTTCAATTTTCTGCAAAATTGTCCTATAGCTTGCCATCCAGTACAGTGGAAAGCCAGAAATCTCATGGAACTGTCAGCTTTTAACAGCAATCCCAAGAAGGCAGCTTTATTTCAATAGGCATGTTTTACCAGCAATCTGTTGCCATGTGCTGTTATGCTCTTCAGATGTAATATTGAGAAACTTCTTTGCGTTTGTAGAAAATGATCTATGTAGTTTAAAGAATAAATGCTTCACCGTAATTTTGCTGTATCTATATTGTGTTGATATAATTGATAATGAAGAAGAAATAGGATTTATTGGCGTGCATGCACATGCTTCAATTGGTAATGATGCTGTACTTGAATGAGAAGAACAAAGTATTAACAGCAACTCATGTGTAATTGCAGAGATTATATATGCAATCAAGAATTGAGTGAAATGATTTAGTAGCTACCAATATATAAAATGAGCAATTACGTAACTGTATTTATTCTGTGAGAAAATCGACTAGCACTATACAGTAAGAAGTAAAACGGTTTTGAGAATATCGAGTGATAAGTCATATGAAGGAGAATTACCGTACAGTCAAAAGTCTTTAATCCGGACTCGTCGGGACTTCGGCGATTCCGGATTATAGATCATCAGTTTAATTCTGGTAAGACGGCATGCAGGAATTATAAAATTAAAAATATGAAACCGTAATTTATGAAATAAATAACAATTACGATCTAAAGGGTATCAAAATTTAAAAAAAAAAAGAGCTTAATATTTATTTGTTTACTTTATTAAACATTTCTTTTAATGTAAGTTGTTTAAGTTGCTTCGTTTTATGTGATTTATAAACAGACATAATTTCTTGTTCAGTTACAAAGTTCCGCTGATCACGTCCTATAATTGCTGTGCTGAGAACACCAACTAATTTGTCAATCGAAATTTTTTTGTTTTCAATAACCTCCGTGTCACTTTCTTCACTATTGGAAACGAATTATAATGATGAGGAATTTGATTTAAATCATGTCAAAAACGGAGTACATCGAGATGAAATGCTACATTTAGTAAGGAATTATAAGCCGAATAAAATAAAAACATCTGCCCTGAAGATAAGGATAGTGCTAACAGATCAACTTCCAATTCATTGCGCGCCGCAACGTCCCCTCCCCCCCGCAGAGCAGCGTGAAATTGACAAACAGATTTTGGAATGGTTAGAGAAACAAAGGATATGCCTTTATCCATTTTTTTTGCAGCAATTCCATTTTTTGTTTGATGGACATCGAAACATACTTTCGCTTTGTAGACCCTTTAGCAGCTCCAGCATCGGAAATTCTATTTGACATAATCGAAAGTTCAAGCTTACTTTTATAAAATTGCTCTAACAGTCTGCAAAAAATAATAAGCCGGATCCAATTCGAAGATTAAGGAACAACGCAATCTGCAACATTAACTGAAAAGATAATTAGATAATTTTAGCTTAGCTTATACTGCCCGTTATACATTAAACGTAGAAATATCTAAATATATTTTTACGTATTTTATTTATCAGTGAGCTTACTTCCATGTGAGCATATATCTATGTGGGCATATTTCTGTGTGGGCTTTTTTCCTGTGGACATTTTTCCGGTCACTGTGAATTCAGTACTCAGTTAGAGACAAAGTATTGGTAATCTCACAACCTATTAGCAACAAGACCAAAAAATGATCCGCAAAATTCGCACCTCGACGAGTTGGCCCCTACATAATATTAAAGAAAGACATTCTTCTGTGAGCTATGAAATAGCTGATATTAAAGATCCAAGTGTGTCTCTTGGAACGTATTGCACGTCTTCTCTTCGACCATTTAAAGAAACCCCTAATGAAACTGAGCCATTTTATCCCGTTAAGAATAGAGGAAAACCAAGAAAGAACATTTCTAGGAATGTTTCACAAAAGAACCAACCACACAGTTCTTCCTCTGGCTACTCACTGATATGTCTTATTAACTGGGGGGGGGGACTGTAACGAACGAATATCGTCAGCAACACCCTCTACTGGCGCTACGGGGAGAATAATCAGTTCAACGCGAGGCATACTTTCGAACCTTAAACACAGGAAATATCCAATGGAAAAAGTTAAGCAATTCTCCAAAACCCACGAAGGACAGAAAATTAGACTCCCCATA